TGCCAGAAGTCTTACCTATAGTTTCACCGCTTGGTTTGATTATTTTGATGCCTCCGGAGTCTGTTTCTTCTTTTGTTGTCAATCTGTTTTATCTAAGGCTTCCCATTTCTGCCTCCAGTCAATGCTAACTAGAAGATACAGACTGGAAATAAGGCCACAAGCGATTGGGCTCGATGCAGGAATTATGAGGTGAAATCCCGTGGCCTGTATTTCACAGGAGGACACGAGATATAATGACAGCTGTCCCTTTTAGACTTCGTGTGTGATTGCTTTTAGCTGACAGAAATGACTAATTTTGGTACCCGAGCCTCAGACTGGTTTTACCCTGACAGGCTAGCATGGGAAGTACATGCTCATAAATAGTTGTTGGTTATTTCTCCGGATCCCAAACGTGGGATTCCTGTAGACAGATCGGGGGCGGAGGAGGAGACTGTAGTGCACACACAACACAGTTCAAGTTGGCAAAGAGCCCTTTCTTGAAGAATGTAAGTTTAACCTTTAGCATTCAAGTGTCTGGGCTGAAGTGTCATTATGAGCAATACTTTCCTCCGGCACAGCCTCTCCCGGCTCTGGGAGGAGGGCTCCCTGCAAGCCCACCCGCTTTCCCCTTTCCTTTCCTGAAAATTAAAAAAAAAAAAGCACTTCAGCCACCTCTAGGCCTTTTCATAGCAAGGACAGGTTTCTTTCTAACAACACCGAGATGCCCTGGCATCTGCACTGCTGGACTATGCGGAGGGGCTCTGGTGCTGCTGCCGCTCACAGAGCAAACACTTTGCAAGACCTCCAGTTGGGAAACGCGACCTTTGACCCGAACTTAGGCTTACCGTTTGAATCAAATGGTTGGACTCTTCCCTTTTTTTTTTTTCTCTTTTTTTTTTAATCAGTCCTTCACAGTCCGGATCCCGGATTAGACGACTCTGAAATGACCTGCAGCAGATACCTATTGCAGCTTTTTTTTTCAGGGGAGGGGGAGGCAGAAGGGGGAAGAGAAGAAAGAGGTAAAAAAAGCAGAAATGGCTTTTCAGGAAACGATCTAAAATGGGGCTCGGTTCTTCCCCCTCTCTAGCACAGAAGAGCTAAGCAAAATGTGAGGTTACGGCAACATTTGAAATATTAGAAAGACGGCAGACCCTGCTGCAAACGGACAGACTCGATGTGCCCCCAAATAGTCTCCATCTGTAAAACACTTCAGGACTGATAGGAAACACACACACCCCAGCATATGTGGTCCAATAAAAGGGGGGGGGGCAGCGAAGGAAATGTGAACTGAGGAGAAAAGGAGGAATTCCTGGGCTGACCTGGGTGCTGAGAAGGGAGTCCCTTAAGTGAGGCACTTCCTTTCAGACCTGCCATGCATTTGCATCCCATCCATCCTCTTCAGTCTGGGTGCCGAGCTGTTTTAAGGAGCGTTTTGCTGATCCGAACAATTGGTAAGGGAGGAGCAGGACCCTCCCTCCGCAGTGTCTGTAGCTCCCTGGTGTTCAGTTCCCATAGCACGGCCCTCGGAGGGCACAAATCAAAGCGGCGATACTGGCTAATAGGGGAGGGTCAGGGTTAGCTGCAGGGTACGTCGCTGATTGAAGTCACACGCCGCATCCCGTCTTCAAATAAGCATGTCTCACAT